TCAATAGAATACATAGAAATAAGTCTTGAAGGTAAGCATTTCTGGAATTATCCAAAAATCATAGTTCTCTTGAAAAATGAATGCCTAACCTAGTGCATCTCGAAAGTATAGTCCAAGAATCTGATCTTAGCTGGCCTCGGCCTGTAGTGACTTGAAGCAGGGCTTCAGTTGCTAGCCAGAGACTGAGGTCAGGCCATGGCAATGAGAGAGTGGAATCCTAGCCACTGGACCACCAGAGACAGAAAAGAATTTCCACAAAAATGGAAAGTAGTGAAACTAATAAAGTGTTTACTGGAAGAAAAAGAGCACAGAAAGTGTGGATAAACACAGGGGTGGACTTAGACAGAGTCGTGCTCTTGCGGTAGTTTAAATCACTTATAGGGGACATAATTTAACATTTTACAAATCCCCAACCCAGGAAACATATGTGAAATGTCATTAGCACCTCTTCTACAGTGGACCACCTCTTTATTTTTTTAATTAATTAATTTATTTTAATTGGAGGATAATTACTTTACAATATTGTGATGGGTTTTTGCTGTACATCAATCTGAATTGGCCACAGGTATACACGTAGAAATCATTTGGGGAAAAAGAAGTTTGCTTCTTCTTGAATCAACATTTGTTAAGTCATCTTAAATAATGCTATTCTATAGGTAGCAACCTATTGAATTTTTCTGACTTATCTTTCATTTAGAGTTGCAGATTCATGAAAGTTTCTCTAGTAATAATTAATCTCAATTAATTTTCTGAATGGTTTTCTTTCTAATGAGTGAGAAATGATTTTTATGAAGAAAAAATTATATCTTTTCATCATCACATTTAAAGGATCTTACATCACAGATCCTGCTTGTTATGTTTAAACATGAGTCTACATTATACATAATGCATACTAAACATTTGCCAAGAGATGAGCCCTCACAATCAAATTTTATAAGATCTGTATAAATTAGAATGTTACACAACAAAATAAACATTTATTGGAAAAAAATAGTACTCAGGAACATTTTTCTGAATCAAATAAATTTTAAAAATTGCTTATCCCATTTTTCCTTAAAAGGGAATGACCTATGTGAGTTTAAATTGGCAAATTGTTTTTAAGAGGCATGAAGTTTCTGGATAATGTCCAAAGGCACATGTTTGTAGTCATTCTCTAATAATTCATAAAGATTTTTGATAAACATATAAAATAACCATCCGTTCATGGAATAGTTGCTGAAAAATAATTCTTACAATTATATGGAGATGGTAACTAAATTACAGTGGATTTACCAACCACATTATCTATCAGATGACCAAAGTATCAACTTTAAAATAATTACTCTAAGCTTACACATTCTAAAATTAGTTTTGTTTTGTTTTTTTAGTTGCTGATAAATGAAACTATTGAAAATTGCTATTGCTTACATAGCGCAGTTGATAAAGAATCTGCCTGCAGTGCAGGAGACCCGGGTTCTATCCCTGGGTTGGGAAGATCCCCTGGAGAAGGAAATGACAACCCACTCCAGTATCCTTGCCTGGAAATTCTCATGGACAGAGGAGCCTGGTGGGCTGCAGTCCATGGGGTCACAGAATCGGGCATGACTGAGTGACTAACACTTACTTACTTAGAATTCCATAGTATGCTATTTTATGTCACAAAATTAAATATTTTTAAAAGGAAGTAACATGCAAATAAGTAGAAGCACATAAATCAAGGAAGGGTATAAAAAGGCCTTCAGAGATTATTCATTTTACAATGTTTGTCAACCATTAAGGAACAAATGCTTTTTATCATGTAGATCCTTCTTAGTGTATGTTTTATAACTATTAGAACATTTTAAATTTGTTAATATAAAATTTTATCTTCTGTAAAAAAAGACATGACAAATGAAACCTTCATTTCAATTTTCCACTTGAAAAATCTTTCTTTCAGAAGAGCAGAATGTTATAATGTAGCCCTGAGTCAAATCAGAATTGTTCAACTACATGTATACTATTCTATAAGCAAGCAAATCAAATAAGAGCAATTATTCGTTTGTATTTTTCAGCAGGACAAATCAGCTCTAGGCAACAAACGCTGGCTTTCTAGAAAGTCATAATCAAAATGATCTATAACAGTTATGCCAATGTGTATGTCAACGTACTCTCTGAGTTCATACATGCTTACACAATTTAATAAGAACCCAAATTAAAGTTCCCAAATTAAAGATTCCTAGAATAGATGGTAATATGATTTTGCCAAAAATTTTGACCCTTGTTTCAAATTGAGTCACTGCTAAATGGGATGTTAATCATCTAGGAAGGGGTTGTCAAGCTTGATCGGAATGGGCCAGACTGTAAATATTTTAGGTTTCGCAGAGCACACACTTTCTGTTCTAACCACTCAACTCTGAAGGTGTGGTCAACAGAGCTGTTGCAGGCCGTGTGAGCGGTAAGTGTGGCTATATTCCTGCCAAACTTTATTTAGGGACAATGAAATTAGAATTTGCGCAATTTTCACATGTCACCATTTTACTTTTTTGAGTTTTTTCAGTCATATAAAAGTGTAAAAAAAACCTCTTAGCTCATGAGCTACATAAAAACAGGAAATGGGCAGGTTTGACCTGGGGCTTGTAGTTTGCTGATCCCTATCTAGGAAATTATGCTAATTATTTTATGAGTATTTGATAAATATAATGTTTATTATGGAAATGAAGAGAAAGAAGATTAAAATGATGATCATGATAATGACTGAGAAAGTAACTGGACAGAACATTATAATCAATCCAATGCATTTATAATTTACCATACCAAGTTCAAATTACTTGACTTCATGCTAGAATTTCCTGATTTTTTTTTGTTATGGTACTTTAATTCTCCATAGAACTCCACCTTTTCCTTAGATAAAAGAGGACATTACTATTTCTGCATCAAATAGAAACAAACACCATCACTCAATCATCATCTATCCACTTACTAAGATATTGCAGCTGAAATTATTTTATATGTCATATTTGTTCCATAAGTTTCAATCATATTTTTTCTATTCAGTGAATTCTTTTCCACTGAAAGTTGAATACAAATTGCCAATATATATAATTAATTACATTTTCTAAGCGGCCACTGTTTCTAATATATATGCTGTTGTGTTCAGTTGCTCATTGTGTCTGGCTCTTTGTGAACTTATGGACCATAGCCAGCCAAGCTCCTCTGTCCATAGGATTTTCCAGGCAAGAATACTGGAATGGGTGGTCATTTTCTGCTCCAGGGGATCTTCCCAACCCAGGGAACAAAATCATGTGTCCTGGGTCTCCTGCATTGGCAAGCGGATTCTTTACTACTGAACCACCGGGGAAGCCCTCTATATATTGTGACAATCACAGCTATCTGTGATTATGCCATAAATTCCTACAAGTAACGATATCTTCCCTGTTGTTGTTATTCAGTTGCTAAATCATGTCCGACTCTTTGCAACCCCATGAACTGAAGCACACCAGGCTTCCATGACCTTCACTCTCACCCAGGGTTTGCTCAAAATCGTATCTATTGAGTCAGTGATGCCATCTAGCCATCTCATCCTCTGTTGTCCCCTTCTCCTCTTGCCCATCCCTGCTTTGATTCAAACACCATGGGAAAATTAAAAGCTACCCAAGAATTTTGCACCATTTCCAGCCATGTCTGTTCTCCAACTTCTGTCCTTTATCAGTAATTGATTCAATTTGCAAAACCTGCTAGTAAAGAAAAAGCTTTAATGATGGGGTGAAAATGCAGATAATTTTGCCATAGTAACCTGACGAGTTTTGATGCTGTGGAAGAAGACACAAGGGTCTTTGTTCCCCCCTTGCTTCTCATCAGAATTAAGGAAGCTGGATTTCAGCTCAAGTTAAACTCTTAGCTCTGTCATTAGCTGGACCTAAAGTAAAGCTGACCTGCTTGCCTAAGGCAAAACAGTCCTCCCAAATCAACTGCCACTAGGATGGAGTCTGCAAAGCATGGCAGATTTGACTCAAGCTGACCCTTCCTAATGGAGAATGATGCATTAAACATCAATGCCCCAAGAAACAATCTGGAATGTGGAGAGAAGGAGTGAAGGAAATCCAGGTGATGTTGAAATGAATACATGTATACTCAAGACACTTTGAATCACTCATAATACATGCAAATAATTATCCTGTGCTCTAATATGCTTGGTAGTGAAGGAGAGAGAGTTTAGGATCACAGAGTCTAATTCTGCTACTAACTACCCATTAGACCAGAGGATATTTCACTTTCACATCACTTCAGATGACCTTGGAGGAATTTTCAAACTGTGTTCTCTTACAGGATGGTGAAAAAAACCTCACAGCAACCTCTGATACTAACTGGCAGGGCCTGTATGTCTCATGTGTGGTGGGAAACAATAATTTCTTATGAGAATTCAAGATTATTCAATGATCCCAAGTAGATCACTTGGGATCCCAAGGCCACCATCAAAGTGGTCACTAGAACTTATCTGCTAACAATGAAATTAAGATATTATTAGGAAGAATCATAATACCCTAGAAGTATTTCTTGAATTGATATTTAAGGTGATGGATGACATATACTAAATGTCACCAATATATTGGACAGTTAGACTCAGGTTTTAAATACAAACCCTACACACTAGAGAACGTATTATGCATTTTAAAACAGACAACATCCAACCATCTCCCCAAACCTAGAAACAGCATATATACCAAATGCTTAGGAATACTTGACAGGAGGCAGCATGTAATTGAAAATATTTTGAGAAATAATTTATAGACTGTGAGGATTTTCTCAAGCATAATTGGGAGTGAAGGGTATTGTAAAATTGCATAATATGGTTTGGATATTAAAAACAGTTTTTTAGGTGTTATCTTAGAATTATGTATGTATTTTCAGATATATATAATGGTAGCGGAATATGGATGTGGGAAGAAGAAGACTACTTTAAAATCAGGCTTCCAAATGATCATTTTTTTCTGGTAATCCATTATTAATGATGGATAAAATAAATTTCTGTGTTGTTTCCACAGGGAATTGTGGCATGCAAATGACCAGTGCTTGCCCCATCGTGCAGGAAACNTGTTGGACCTCATTCCTAAAGGTCATGACACCAGTCTGCCATTTACTTTACATGGCAGTTAAGAGAGATGATTCATCTCCCTGCATGAACACATTTTTTATTTTAGCCATCAATAACCATGACAATGATAATATACTGTGAGACCAATAACGATGACGTTTGCTTCCAACTAGCTTACTATAATTGAGAGTAAAAATGTAAAGATCAATAAAACTGTGAACTCTTGCCTTGACTAAGTAACTGATAATATAGAAATGTTTAGAGTTATTTGGTTAAATTAGGGACAACTAAATTAATACAGAAAAGACTTATTAATACCTAAATGGTTATTCAGTGTGTGTATATATTTATACATAAATGCATATCTTTCTATAAGTATACACACATATATATATATTTACATATAGAAATATAATGGAAGAAAAAAAAGCAAAGAATGTATAATAATCTACATGGGTCAAAACTTCTGGTAAAGAAGGTAGTAAAATTATCAGACAAGATAATCATCAACCACATGGTGGATCATCACACACTGGTGAATCATAAGAAATAACAGCTCATTGGTCAAATTTGCCATATCCTACTTATCATCAAACTTCTTGGTAGTGACTAGGAAGCCTCACTTCCTTCCGTGAAGCTATAATATGACTTCTGAAATTGAACTGATTAAAAATTTTAGGGCACACATCCTACTATCATAACCATAATGGATCCAACTTAGGAGAAATTGAACTACAAATAATATATACTTCCAAAGGTATAAAATTAATTCTCTGTTAACAGTGGGAAATTATCCAGTTGCAGTCTATTAAATTCAACACAGATATACCTAAGTGACTAGATTAGTAGAAATAAAGGGAATTAGGGAGAATATCTAGAAATTTTATTAGCAATTTAAAAACAATAACATGGTGAGTGAAAAGTGTCATGTATTAAGATGAATAATTATGGCATATTTAATTGCCAAATTATTTTTAATCTTAGTTTTGGGATCCCTTTGTTTCCATCCAGTAATTCATTATAATAGGTTTCTAAGTGTACAGGTAGAGATTTTTGAGGGGAGGAAAGGGAGATCTTTTGTTGGTGGATTTTGACTTTTGGTTTTACTGAATTATGCTCAGAAAATATTGATTATAGGTCTCTATGTTTTGGAATTTGTTAGTTTGTCTTGATTAGTTCATGAGTAGTTTGACATTTTTTTCACGGAATAAGAAAAAAACATATTCTCTGTAGGCATGATGATGTCTAAGAGTTTTAAGACCACAGACCCTAGAGCCAGACCAGCTGGGTTAGGTCTGGTTCTATTATTCTCTGTTAGGTAGCCCTGAATAAGCTACCTGTCCAATCAGTGCCTCAGTTTCCTCATTGTTAGAAGACTATTATGAGGACTGTATAAATTAATATGTCAAACTCTGGAATAATACCTAGCATATAGGAATCATGATATGATAGTTTATTGAATATCTATAATTTTGCCCATCTACTATGTATCTATACACACACAAATCTGCTGACTATACTGTCTTATATTATACAAATCCTTGCTTTACTGCACTCAACTTAATGACAGCATTTAGAATTTTACACATCAAGTCGCCATTATCATTTAGTTTTATCCAACTGTACTTCTGGGACAGTTTGCATTATGCGTGCCACAGCTATGTTGCTTGGTACAAACATGTTTACAATTCTTCACCTTCTTGTGAATACAAAGTTTTCTACATCTGTAAATACCCCATTAGTTCTGTTTAATGATTATAACACTGAATTTCACTTTAGATGGTACTGATAAAGCACTCCCACTTTCTCCTTGTTTTACATTTACTAGGCTCATCTTATGATAATATTTTCAAACATTACAAAATTATTTAGATATGCTCTTTACAAGCAGTTGGACTTGTCTTTCATTCCAACCCAGAAATTTCTGGCTCTCCATTGGAACATTAACACTACCATTTATTATCACATGACTGATTTTATCCCATTCCTTTCTTGAGTCAACTATTAACTAATATTATACATTACTTGGTTTTATCATTTGCCTCATTCTTTTATTTTTCCAGGTTCATCAGCTTTCTTTTAATTCATTTTGTATTCTCTACCTACCTACCCCAAGAAATGAAAATTCTACAAGGCACCTTAATATGTAGTGGGCTCTAGATAGAGCCCACTAAAAAGTCTAAGTAAACTGTATTGTGAATATTCAAAAGTTACTGATAGAGTGAAAGTGAAGTCGCTCAGTTGTGTCCGACTCTTTGTGACACCACGGACTGTAGCCCACCAGGCTCCTCCGTCCATGGGATTTTCCAGGCAAGAATACTGGAGTGGGTTGCCATTTCCTTCTCCAGGGGATCTTCCCAGCCNCATCAATTCTTTGGCGCTCAGCTTTCTTTATAGTCCAACTCTCACATCCATACACGACTACCGGAAAAACCATAGCCTTGACTAGACGGACCTTTGCTCTCAAAGTAATGTCTCTGCTTTTTAATATGCTATCTAGGTTGGACATAACTTTCCTTCCAAGGAGTAAGCATCTTTGAATTGATAAAGAATCTGCCTGCCAATTCAGGAGACACAGGAGATGTGCCAATTCAGGAGATGTAGGGAAGATCCCCTGGAGTAGGAAATGGCAGCTCACTCCAGTATCCTTGCCTGGAGCATTTCATGGAGAGGAACCTGGAGGGCTACAGTCCATAGGGTTGCAAAGAGTTGGACACAACCTAGCAACTGAGCTGTGCTGTGCTGTGATTAGTCAAGCTCAGCTGTGTCCAATTCTTGATGACCCCATGGAATCTAGCCTGCCAGGCTCCTCTGTCCATAGGGATTCTCCAGGCAAGAATAAAGGGGTGGGTAGCCGTTTCCTTCTCCAGGGGATCTTCCTGACCCAGGAATAGAGCCAGGGTCTCATGCATTGCAGGCAGATTCTTTACCAGCTGAGCTACCAGGGAAGAGCATAGCGACTGAGCACACACACACAAAACAGGTATTTGCTGTCATTGTCACTGTTTAAATTTACTTCTTTAAGAGCGAAATTCCATAGAGGGGCATTTTTTCACAAACCACTAACAGGAAGAAAGAGAACTTTACATCCCTAAATGCAATCTTGCTGAGACCAGAGCTAGGTACTGGCTTTTAGTAACATTTCTGACTAATGACAACATGAGGCAGGCTGGCTGTAAATATATTTACAAGGCTGCACTTAGCTCAAAGTTGGGCATACAAAACTTGTAGTGACTCTCTTATTTACTCATCTATTCTGTTCCATTAGGTGCAATTATCCAGTAAACACACCATCTTAACAGAGCTTAAGAAGCTAATTAGTACAGGCCCTTTGGAAAAACTCACACATTTTGGTCCTTCCGGTGATTCTAGGAGGTTGCTGCTCTACTAAAAGTTCCCAGGCTGAGGAATTGGAAATCTTTCCAAAAATTCATAAATGGCTCTGATTTGCATTTTCTCTTCACATTATCTGTGAACTGTGTGACCCCCGTGGACTGGTGCATGGAATTCTCTAGGCCAGAATACTGGAGTGGGTAGCCATTCCCTTCTCCAGGGCATCTTCCTAACCCAGTGATTGAACCCAGGTCTGCATTGCAGGCGGATTCTTTACCAGCTGAGCCACCAGGGAAGCCCAGATACATTTAAGAAGTTAAGTACTTCAGTGGAAAGAGATCCTTGTTAAGCAAGGAAGGCTCCTGCCCCTGCCCAAATGAGATACAAAAATACTTAAAGTGTCCTCACACTTCTGGGTCTTCTGTTTTTTAATCCAATATAACGCCCCCAAGGAGCTCATTGGGAGGTAAATGAATGCAACAGATTCTCACTAGGCGTTTTTATTTAAGTCCATCTACTGTCAGTGCTGAAGAACACTCAAGAAGTAAGCTGGGGAGCAGCAGTGAAAACAGTAGAGAGCTGTCAGCGGCACAGTTCGTCATTGTTTCACCAAGAAAAGGCAGACTGTCACAATAAACAGCATTTATTCCTTTCCTATTTGTGGCTAAGGGCTGGCAAAAGGGAGGTGTCACTGGTCGTAATTGTAGAACACATAAATAATAATAGTAGCTTGCAAATCATAGATCAAAGCAAATAGAGGGAGTTGGCAGTGATGAAGGCAAGAAAATAGATGCTTCCAGCACCAGCTAATTTACTACTCTTTTAAAAAACAGTTTCTCCTTCCTCACAGTTAAAGTGGAATGATTTTGTTTGCCTCTTCAGCTTCAGGTTAAGAAAGATGGAACTTCTAAGTCATAGATCTTATGAATTAATTTAGGTATATAAGTATGTGGTGACTTTTTTGATTTCCTTCAAGAGGTAAATATTTTATACCAAGGGGAAAAGGAGGGATAAACTGGGAGATTGGGATTGACATATACATACTACTACACATAAAAGAGATAACTGTATAGCACAGAGAACTCTATCCAATGTTCTGTAATGACCTGGGAGTGAAGTGTTAGCTGCTCAGTCATCTGACTCTTCGCTACCCCATGGTCTGTCCATGGAATTCTCCAGGCAAGAATACTGGAGTGGGTTTCTGTTCCCTTCTCCAGGGATCTTCCCAATCCAGGGATTGAACCCCACTCTCCTGCATTGCAGGCAGATTATTTATCATCTGAGCTACCAGGGAAGCCCATTGGGTAAAGAATCTAAAAAACAGTGGATATATATATATATATATGTATGTATGTATGTATAACTGATTCACTTTTCTACTCATCTGAAATGAACATGGCATTGTAAATCAACTAGATTCCCATAAAAAGTAATTTAAAATTCATAAATCATAACTTTTACTAACTGGATGTATGAGGTAAGCCTTCTGCTTAACTCTAAGCCTTCTTGTTCTGAGATCACTAGCTTGTAAAGCACACATGAAGTCTATTGAGGTTTCTCAGAGAGGAAAATTGATGTTAGAAACTAAGAATTCCTAGTTTATATCACACCTGGACCATCTGATCTCAGCAGAGGTAAGATGCCCAACACCTTGCAAATTGCAGACTCAGATGACAC